GTAGTAAAAGGAAGTTGCACGCAAGTAACCACAGCGGTTTCAGAATTCATGAAACCCTTGAGGTAATAGTTATAGTAGGTTAGTGAGAGGGATTTGACACGGGAGCCGAAGGAAAACATTGGATGGACAATTTTTCTTTTTGAGATATTTTTCTACAGATGGTAAATGACTAAAAACGACTGCAAAATGCTCAAACAAGACTAAATAAATCAGCTTTTTTTAAAACGAAAAGAAAAATATATTTTTTGTTGATTTTGATTTGTTAGAATAGATAACAATATGAAAATTTTAAATATTCTTGTCTTGAAATTATGATAATAAATAATAATAATAAAATATTGTCTTGTATAATAAAAAATAACATCAACACCTTAACACGGGTTTTAAATGCAATAATAAATGTCAATTACATACAATTAACACAAAGTCGTCGTTCAGTCGTCATCACTCAGTCAATAACCTGTCTGTCCTGCAGCTGGATTCAAACCTTCACAAAAGAAGACTTTCTCTTTCCACCCACAGAGTTACATCAGCTCCCACGTTAATTACATATAATGACGCACAGGACTGATCTGCAGCAGAGTAAGACATGATCACAGATACATTTCATTTTTTAATAAGTTCAGGTGAAGTGCAAAAAAAAGAAAAAACAAAGAGAACTGGCTCACTGCTTTAGTCAAGACTGATGCTTTTGTTACTTCCCTGTGAGAAACAAACACCCCCTCCCTCACCTGTTCAGTATTTCCTCTCCTCACTCTAATGCTAACAAAGCAGCTGTGGCAGAGGTCGCATTTGTTACATTTCAGAAGTAATCATTCACAAGAACAGTCCACTCGAACCAGACGCTGGTTTGGAGGTTTGCCAGATGGGGATCAGTTTGTCTATTTGTTTCTATTTGTGGCCAAATATTATGTTGCTAGGGAACAGCCGGCATTCTACAATGCATTTATCAAATTAGTGTTAGCAGCGCAGCAAGTGGCAGCGACGTACGGTAGATATGCAGTATGTCACCGCTGTGACAGGAGCTGCGAGCGGAGGAACAGGAACCGATGTTGCAGGGACTGTTCAGCTGAGCCGTGCAGCAGCACCCGTCCCAGTAAATGGTGTTTATTTGTCTGGACTGCATCATTTACTGTGACTAAATGGATGCTGAAATGTTGAGAGGGCTTATCCAAGAAGGCATGTAAAAGAGCTATCTCACAAAAGAATGAAAAGAAAGAAAATATTAATAAAAAAAAAAAGAAAAGACTGGGAGGCTGTTTGGTCTGGCACTCAGCCTGGACGGCAAGTGAAAACAAAGGGAGCCTACGCACGTAGGATCACTGACAAGAGTCAGACAGCCAGACAGGCAATCCCAGCAGGAAGTGTTTCACCTGATGCAGACACAACTGAACCCTGGGAGAAAATGGAAGAGAATGAGACGTACATGTTTCATTCTTTGTCCAATAAACATTTCCTTGCATTTACAGAAAGTTTAGTGTGAACAGTACATACTTTCTGTGTGGGCGTGTGTTCAGTTTTTCCTATGTATGTGTGTGTATGAGTCATCGTGGAGTGACCCCACCCTTCGTGGGCGGTTGATTTGGCGGGCCCGGAGTATTTGGCCTCTGTCAGTCTGCCTGTCCCAGAAAGAGCTGCTCACATAACTAGCCTCTTTGTTCCAAATGTCACTCCCTCAAAGGGAGAAAAAGTCATCCCGTCACTGCTTCTCCTGCCCTTCTCTTCCGTCTTCCTCTGCAGCTCTGTGCCCAAAATACTAAATATTACTGATGGCTTTCACTGTCACTGGGTGAAAAAACAACCAACAGGAAGTTTCTGACTGCATTGTAGTTAAGGCCACTCGTGAGCTCATGTTAGCCTCCGTGTGTCTGCTAGAAGTATGAACCAACGGAAACATCACACATCTCTCTTTCTATGACAACTGAATGTACATTTAAAATAAGATTAAGATACAAGTTGACTCTAACCAACCACATCTGTCATGATAAAATAGTTATCTTTTCACAAAGAACAACTTTAAGAATATTTAAATTAAGAATTTGGGTGTAAAGTTTTCAAATGTGTCATTTTTGTGTTTACAGAAAAAGTACTTTTACCACAATCAGTGATCAACTATGAGTCACCAAGCTTGAATATAAATCTCTACCTCTTCTATTGACTAATATTTGAAGTTAGAAAACCACATGGCTATAACCAATAATATATAGTAGGATACCTAAGTCATTGAGCAAGGCATCACCACAGCACAATCCACAGTACTAAAGTATTTGTCAACACTGTGTAAAAATTTTCAGGTTTTATTTTTTCAGTCCAGGATGAGACAGAGATAAGTGACATGAATGTAACAAATCAGCCAGTCGCTTGGGCAGAACCCTGGAGTCAAAGACGGGTCACACCTGGGACAGTCCACTAGTCCATATTGGGACAGACAACCCTACACACCCACATTCTGATCTATGGTGAATGTAGAGCGAGCAATTAATCACAGTAGCAGTTTGCTGGATTATAGGCAAAGAAAACCCACGCCTACAGAACACGTGGAGAACTTTCCACCAAATGATGTGAGGATGAATTAAACTGAAGTGCATACTGGTTACATTTATATGTCTATATGTTTTTATCTTCCTGCAGAGTAACAAAATGCATCATCAGTATTGAGCAACATATTCACAGTATTTACCTTTCTGTTTCCGTCTCAGATTGACTCCATTGCACCATTACAGCAGCCAAACACTGTAGAGTTCTTGTGCCAACACTGTTCGTGCACACAGCCTGTGGGGAAGGGTGTGTATTTTCATGATTGACATTTAGGCTGGACTTTCACTAAGAAAAGTGTATGAGGCACAGGTTAAAAAAATCTGTTTTCTTTTCTCCTCAAAAAAAAAAGAAAAGAAAAAGAAAAAAGTCACTGCTGCTTTTTGTTGTCCTTAAGATATGAAAGTAAACAAGGTGATGGTGACGACAAAAAAAACATAACACACACACACACATGCTACGACTCGTTTAACATAGTTTATACAGTCTTTTATATCTGACATTATTTTTACCTCACCGTCTGGAAGGACATTCCGTACTTGGTAACAGGTAGTTGTTAGTCTTCCACATGTTTTAATGTCAGTTCTTCAGTTACTGTTGGTTTTAGTTCTGCCCCCGTAGTGGAACCTGTCAATCACTTTAACCACCACTTACAAACCCTCCAGTTAAGCCTTTTAAGCCATTTTGGGATGATTGATGCACAATAGGTTCACAGTGGAGAGTAGACACGCCAACATCACTATCCAAGTGTTTTTGGTTTTTTAATAGTGGTTAAAACCAGCGAAAAGGTGAGTAACATTGGAGGTAGAGGAGTTGGCCTGTTGTTCTCTCTGGTGAGTCATGACTGGTGTCAGGAATGTTCCGTCAAGTATTGTGGCAGATTCTGGAAATACCACACACAACAAAAGCAACGTAACAGCTAGTGACAAGTGGTGACAGTTTATTTTCTCCTAATTTGCTCTCTCTTCAACCTAAACAGTAGCTGTGAGGGAAACTCCATGGTTTGTGCATTCCCTGTTTGCAGAGTTGTATTTATGATTCCATTCATGGCTGACGGTTGGTCAATGTTGGTGTTGCACTTGATGGACTTCCAGTCAGCAGGCATGGAATTCTGGGGCCCGGTGTGAATTTCATGGACTTCAAAGTCTTGGTCAACCACTTACATGAAAACTTCACAAAAACTGAAACAGGAAGTTTTGTGGTGCTTTGATACTTTAGTCCAGTGTTTCCCATACTTTTCTGCAGCCCACCCTGTA